AATTCTGATTTTGAGAAAACACCTATTGTATGAAAGCACCTAGCTCAATGGGCCATGCTAACTCTGGGCTCTCAAGAAAAGCTCTAGAAATTCAAGAGTGTATGACAAACTTGATGCAGATTTCTAAAAACTCAGGTTTACACATGAACTACATAAACAGCAGTTTTGCTAGACGGACTTTTTCATCTTTTATATGTCCATCCAGGCCAGAATATTTATTGCTTTCCATTTAGTGTGTCTGTGCTAGATAGGTGTACACTGCTCTATCTCCTGATCCACAGTCAGCCCCAGTAGAAGATGTGTAGACTGCCATCAGCCTCAAAACCAACGGATACTTTCAAACCGGTTAAACTGGCCGATGATTCAACCAGCTTGTTTGGCAGTGAATTTCATATTGTGTTCAAAACAGACATTGTTACTTACAACAAGTGGTGCAGGGTCTGTACTGCCACTCCCACTGAGGGCACCTGCAGATCTAGCAGCTCTGCCGTTAGTGAAGGTCAGGACAGGGCTCGTCACATTAACCCAAAATGTTGTAGAATTCTGCACAAAGGATGCACTGCAGCGACACCAAAACCAGTGTCAACTGGGGTATAAACACTTAATTGTTATCAAAGTGCTTTGCTAGAATGAATAAACTTTACCGGAACTGAACAGCTTTGATGTCTCCTGATGGTTCTGAGCTCCATGTCACCTGAATGTAGCTGCTATTAAAGCCTGATGTGTGGGACACCGCCGAGCTCTGGACACAAAAACGTGAGAGAGACTATGACATCATTATGTTGTTTGAATGTACTGTATATCATCTGTTTTTGTTATTTGACATGTTTATACTGTTACAGTCACTGTTATACATCGTTAAAGTTACCAAAGGAAAGCAAATCAAATGATGTGCTGTGAAACACAATGTGACATATTGCAATATAATTTTAATTATGCAGCTTGTCACTAAAACTATGTATTAACTTTGTATTTAGAATAGGTAGTTCTAAGATTGCACATGTTCACATTGTTTTCTTTAGTATTTGCATCAGAAAAAAAACTGACTGTCTTTTTCTGTAATGTATTGAATAGATTAAATGTTTTCATTTTACTTCATTGATTGATATGCCCTTCAGTAGACTTAAGGTATAACATATGATCATGCATGATGCTCACATTAACATGAAAGGAAACTCACAGGTCTTTGGCTGCAGGCGAGGAGTTTAGCAGCCCCTGCTGGTATGGCAAAGGAACCCACAGGAGTCTCACTTCCCACTTCTATAGCCTCCAACAGGAAACCTGTGAATGGTGTGGAGGCCGGACCCTGTAGCTCAACTTGGAATCACAGAAAAACATTTTATTCAGTCAGTTGGACAGTTCTCAACTGGGCC